TCACTTATAAGAATCCAACTTAAGGAAAAATCAGAAATGTTATCAAAGATATATTTAAAAAGATGTTAACTGCAGCAATACAGAGCGCAGAAATCATTGTAAAAGAGCCTTCTACCACTTACAGTACAATTAATATAATATCCAATTAACTGTTGCTAAATATCTCACAAAACAAGAAGTATGGAGCGAAGATGTCCAGGTTTAGTGTACCAGTTCAACGTTGTCACCAAGAAACCATGCCCTCTCTACCGCTCTAATTTGCGGATTCATAGCAGGTCTGCTTTCCGTCCTTAGTTATAGCAAGTCCTCACGGTCACAAAATGGCTGCTATAGTACACACACCCACATTTGAAATGACACAGTGGAAAGGGGGTCCAATAGCTTTCACCTTGCAAGAGTTTCTCTCACACACACACACACACACACACACAAACAACACAACCACCACCACCACCACCAAAAAACAGACAAAAAACACCCAGTGGAATTTCCTTTATATTCTACTGGGCCAAACAAGGTCCCATGTTTACCCCTAGACCAACCCTCTGATGACAGGGAATGGATTGCCGTAACTAATTCAGACCACTGGGGCTGGGATAAGGGTCGTCCCTCCCTGAAATCAAAGGTTCTCCTCAACCTCCACCCGCCTCCCATTTATTTCAACAAAATAGGGATTTTGACAGTAAGGAAGGAGAAAAAAAGGCAAGCAATGCAGGAGCTGCTATAAACCTAATTATTCAACAACAGAGAAATGGTAAAATAAATTATGGTATTTATACCATCAATAACATTTTTGGAGAAATTTTAATGATAGAGAAAAATGCTTTCAACATGATGTTGAGTAGGGGAAAAAAGATTGCACAAAAGAATGTATAAATTGATCTCTATTTCCTTTAAAATATATATATACAAATATAAAAGACGAAAAAAGACTGCAAGGAAATGTAATATTAACGGTGATCATCTCTGATTTACAAAAGTTTTTACTTTCTTAGATTCTTCATTACCTAATTCTTCTACAAAAAAATAAAAGAGAACTATTTATAACAAAAATTTGTACCAGGGGTTCCAGTAACCTTATTTTCATTCGACAAAAAACATCACACTGTTGCTTATCAAAGATACTGATAAAGATTATTGTTCAATATATACTTTATCACTGTAGCCTACAGAAGTTTATAATCTTAGTGGTTTTAAGTGACTTCCAACTAACATTAGAAATGTCCTACAGTTCAGATTTAAAACTACTATAAAATAGCATTGTCCTTTCAAAGTTTTGATTCATTTATCTCTTGAGGTATTCCAGAAAAATGCTTTAAGTTAGCCAAACATTAAATAACAGGATAAAACCAAATATAAACTATGATTTACTAAGATTCATTCATTCAACATATTAATAAGGTGCCTACTATGTGTCAGGCACTGTGCTAGGTCCTAATGTAAAGAATACTGCTGATAATAAAGAAATACTTTCATATTATACTGAATGAAAGATCTATTCATAAGTATATTTTTTTCTATTAGAATGCCAGCTCCTATAGATAGCATGCACCTTATTTTATCCTCAGAGCCTGTCAAAAGTTGATACTCAAGAAACGTTCAGATGAGTGAGGAACAAAATACATAAATATTCTAAATATACTATATGTGTATATGATTTTATACATTGGTGTTCTCATTTTAATTTCTTCTACTAAAAAATGGAAGGCAAATTTTTTTTTGAAAAGACAATATGATAAGTTCCAACATATCCAGTTTAATTTTTACCTCTATACTGAAATAGCCTCTGTCCACATAGTCACCCAGAAAGAGGTAGCGTGTGTTACTAGGTGATCCTCCAACTTCAAACAACTTCATCAGGTCAAAGAATTGTCCATGAATGTCACCACACACTAGGGAAAAAAGACAGGGTAAGGTGGAAAATTATGTCTTAGAAGAGAAAGGGCATTACACCAATAGGGATCGCAGGTTTAAATCACTTTCACTTTCACTAGACTGCTCTATAACTATAGTCCATCTCTCAATACTGAATGATCCTACTGGAAATGAGACAACTGTAAATTGTAAATTGAAATACGATTGTAAATTGTATTTCTTCAGTGAACAACAAACATACTAAACAACCTAAAACTGTCTCATAATTCCTAGAAAAATTATCGTATATTTGTTATTTGTGATCGTTTCTCAAATTAGCTCAAATCTAAGTGCCATCGTGCAAATATTTCTCATACCCGTGATTGGAGCATCTACTTCTATCATAGTCTTCTCTTGTCTCAGGATGGCAGCCCCATCATTAATTATCTTTAAGGCTACTTCCTCTTCCAGTCGCCCTTCTTTTACCAAATGGTTTTTCAAAACGTCAATTTTAGGTTTCCCATTCTCAAACACTTCCTTCAAAGTAAGCCGTTGGGTTGGAGGAAAGGGGACAGCTAGAAAGAGAAAAAAAATTATTTAAAATACTTAAATGTATAGAGAACAACCGTGAACACATTCCTTTAATGTAACAAATTAAACCTAATATATTACCATAATTCTCTATCCATACCACCAGAACTATGTGGGAAAAAAATCCAAGATACTGCATATCATAAATGATCGATTCTAATCTTTAAAAAGGCCACAGTTAAAGTCAGTCATTTAAAAGGTAGATGTGTACGTGTATATGTAAATTATAATGTTTTACATATAAACATTAAAGATTTGAAGTTGATTTGGTACACAAGCTAAAAGTGAGACAAGGAACTAGATAATACAAATATCTTTCATTTATGGAAAAGATGTTAAAAATGAAACTGGTCAAAGAAAATGAAGAAAAAGAAGTCATGACACTAAACAGGCATTTATTTCTTCCAAAGAACTGACTTAAGGAAACCATGTGTTTCAGAAGTTTGTCATTTCACGATCAGGGGAATCACAGTTGTATACTTTATTCTTAAATGGTAGTTACTTAAAATACTACTGATAACTAAAATACCACTACAAGGATGGAACTCTTCCTGAGAATAACTTGCTATAGTAACAGAACATAATCTTGAGAAGAACAGATATGGGAGGTCTAGTTGTGTTTTCCAATCTAGAAGGTTAACTACTTCATCTTATGCTGGATATAAAGTTTATATAGTCTCACGGTGAATTAGCAATTTTAACAATAAAATATTTTTGACACTTTAAAATTGGCTACCATTTCCCCATTTACCTATGTTATAATGTAGTCTACTTTAGATCTCCTGTGATCTGGTAGCCACAAGTCTATAAATCTAAAAGGAGGGGTTCATTTTAATTTGCGATTTATGTCTGGTGGTTCCACTTCTAGCTTTCTGGAAGTGTTATTAAGAACCAAGTCAAAATCTATAGGCATTTTAAAATTTTAGACTTGATTTAGCCATACCATTCATTATTTACAAGTAAAGAAAGTCCTATGGTAAGTGTTGTCATACTCTTTCTACCACTGGACTCATTTTGACTACTCAAAGCTCACTGAAAAAATGATAGTAGCTATTCGACCAGTCAATATTACCTCGAAATTGGGAACCACATATAGCCCAGTTTACCCAGCACAGTCCTAGATTTCAACCGCTCTCCTAGCATAATTGTTAATAGTGTCCCCTTTCACTCTCAAAAGTATCCCGATTTGAAAAATAAATGAGTCTTTGGATGGACTATCAATATACTATTTTAACAGGACAATCTATTTATAAATTCAAACAAAATAAGATATTATGGTGAGTAATTTAATCACCTGGTGAATCTCCAAGACAAGGTGAAAGGTTAATTCTGAACAGGTTTTCTTAAATTTTTATCAAAATGTAATGGTACTACAATTGTGTTTAACAATAACAAAAAATCTTTCATAGTTTAGAGATTCTTAACTGAAATATTTTCAGACGAAATTATATGCTTAGTATAATAATATTATACTAAGACAATGGGGGGACAGGGAATAAGCAGTGGTATAGATGAGTTAGTAGCTGTTGAAGCTGGGTGATGTTCGCTTGAAAGTTCACAATCCTGTTATGTCTACTGTTGTAATATGATTGAAATCCTTATAATAAAAAAAAGTATAAAGAATTACCAAAACTAAGAGTATAAGCTTTAAAGAAACTTTTTTTAGAGAAAATGACATGAGGCTCAACCAGGAGAGACACCTAATTTCTTATAGTTGACTTTAGAGAACCACCAGTCCTCTGAAATTTTAACCCCAAAAAATAGAGAAATGAAAGATTCCACACTTAACTATTCCCTTTTTCATGCTTAATTTACCCTTTTTTGGTTTTTAAACTCTTATTCTCAGCCTTTTGCCAGTTTTGAAATGAACCCCACAGAAAGTCTGCTTCTTTTTAATCTCCCACTTTGTAAATCAAAGAACCTGGTCAATAAACTAAGAACAACATGAAATAATATAAAATCAAATATGTTGGAATCATCAAAAAAAAAATCATAACAAAGGTAGTACCAGAGACAAGAGATCCACAGATATTGACTTCTACCAGTAGTAGTATTACTACCAGTAAAAATAATTTTCCTCTAATACTACTCACATGTAATCAGAGAACAGTTTACAAAAATAGAAAACACTTTTCTTATATATTATAAAAGTTATATAAGTAGAGGTGACAACAACCTAAAGAGCTCCTGAAGGAGAAATTCAGAGATATTTTCTCTTTCTCTCAAATTTTATAGTTACAATTTATTTAAAACAAAACAAGTAAACAAGTCACTTAGTTAAATGAAAACAAAAGCAAGTTTGAAATGGATTGAGAGGATTACGCCCAGCTAAGAGAAATGGGACACAGCTAAGCCAGGAACACTAAGGGGAATTAAGATTGGCTTGGGACATACATAACAGAAAGTTCCAGAAGAGTCCTAGGTTTTTAGGTTAGGGCAAACAAAATCAATATCTGTCAAATCGAGGAAAAAGAATCTTCAACTTTAAAGACATGGGTTCTATTTTCCCCAAGTTACTCCTAGCTATGTTTAGAAGCCCAGAATTCTTCCTCCCTTCTTTTACTAGATAGTTCTATACACACGGTCATTGAAGTTGATTCATAGAAAAGCAGAATCAGTCACAATCCTGAGAAGACTAAAGAAAATCCAGCTACGTTTGGTCATAAAGGAAATAGCAGGAACTTTCCAATTAAACTTTAAATCTCC